ACGCAGGTAATAAGAGACCGAGGACTCTCTCATACAGGTGTGCAGGTGAGCCTCCCTGATGTCACACAGGTGTGCAGGTGAGCCTCCCTGACGTCACACAGGTGTGCGGGTGAGCCTCACTGACACCGCACAGGTGTGCAGGTGAGCCTCGCTGATGCCACACAGGTGTGCGGGTGAGCCTCACTGACACCGCACAGATGTGCAGGTGAGCCTCACTGACATCACACCGGTGTGCAGGTAAGCCTCACTGATGCCACACAGGTGTGCAGGTGAGCCTCACTGACGTCGCACAGGTGTGCGCGTGAGCCTCGCTGCCGGTTCATCATGACGCTATCAACCTTTATATACCTGTTGTAATAGAATGGTGTCCCCTGAAAACATGTGCTGCCTTGTCTCTATTGTGATTGTCATAGGTCTGCAGCATATGTAACAACATACTTGAGGACTTAGGTGATGCTGGGGTCATTCTTATGATGTGTTCTAATACGGTCAGTGTGAGACACACATCTTTTCTCAGGTCACACTCCCCATCTCATGTAAGGGGATTTTCCCAGGACTACTCCATGGTAGAGAGGCCATCTCCTCACCTGTGGTGTTGCTGTTGTAAACAACAGAGTTAGAGCTGGCCCACAGCTAACCCTTCAGTGGGTTTTCAGAGTCAGTATACCACACTGGAGGAGACTGCCCATCTTTCTACAGAGAAGCAGCAGATGGGCTCGAACACTGTGCCTTTGAGTTGGCAGTGTAACTCCTTACCGCTATGCCACGAGATTTGCAGCCTCTGATAACTCACTAAAGGCTCAGCTATGAGTAGATTTCCACCTGACAACTATGAATTTTGAATGTTGAATATACACAAGCACAAAGGGCTAATTTGCCACACAAGATCTCTTCCCTGTTTTGCCAAACAATGATGTTACCTTGGTGACTACGGAGTGCCTGACCCATGCTAAGCTCTTTCCAATTGATTCACGGGCATGTGAAGCTGGACAGTGAGATGCAAGACAGAAGGAAAAAAATGATACATTTCAATCTTTTTTTTTTTTGCAAAGTATATAAGCCTTAATAATGACAACAATGATATGGACTTCTGAAAGAGTGAATGTTCTCTAGAAGCAAGGATGGTGAGACTTTGACTCATGTACTCTGTGTTATCAGGTGAGGTCAGCAAGATGCACCTTGGTCATAAGGTTAAAGGTCAGTACACATTGGAAACCCTCCATGAAATGGATCCAATAACCTCAAGACCACACTGAGCTATAGCGATGATCATGAAGGGGGCACAGCAGCAGGTAGAGACTCACTCTGCTCCATTTCAGACCATGAATAAAATCCAGCCAGATAGCAGCAAACAGCACACACTGATAAACGGTAATTCCACAACCCAGCAACAAATACTCAGAAAATAAAACAGAAATCAAAAGTACTAAATTAAATAGTTAATGAATGTTGTTTCTTGTTGTTATGTGCCATCAAGTGGCTTGTGACTCATAGCGACCCTATGTACAACAGCCCTAAACCCTGTTCTGTCCTGTGACAATCGCATTGCCTCTGACACACCCATCCCGATTGCCCCAGTCACTGAATCAATCCACCTCATGGAGGGTCTTCCCCTCCTGAGCTTGCCCTCCACCCTTCCAAGCATGATGTCCTTCTCCAAGGACCGGTCTCTCCTTACAACATGACCAAAGTATGTCAGACGAAGCCCCAGAATCCTTGCCTCCAAGGAGCAGCCTG